TGGCCTGGTTAGCTGTGACATTCGTAGCAATTCTAAAGTCAATATTAGATTCAAATGTCAGACAATGGAGATTTCAGTTATTTCTTAGCAAAAGGACCTCTCATCTAGGTGTTCCTGCTCTGGCAGGGGGATTGGTCTAGATGATCTTTCGAGGTCCCTTCCAATCCCCAACATTCTGTGATTCATAGTGTAGGCAAGAGCACAGCGTTGGTACGTGCCTCCTCCCCAGTGCAGATCCTCACCCTGATCTCCAGGTCCTGCCCAACACAGAGGGGTGGTCATTGTGGAGGAGATGAGAGAAGGGCTCAGCCTCCAGCTGCCTTTGCTGGGCACCGTTATAGACCCCGATGCTGCCAAGTGCTCCCAGCACCCGAGCGTTTGCTGAACCTCCTCCGTACCAGTTGATGGTACTTAGAGCTGAAGATACTGGACACCCAGTGGGACCAAAGCTGTGGGTAACCAACTCACTGCTGCAATTCCCATCATTAATGAATGGAAGTGTTGAAGGCCAGGTTGGATGAGGCTTTGAGCAACCTGGTCTAGTGGAAGGTGTCCCTGCTGATGGCAGGGGGGTTGGAACTGGATGAGCTTTAAAGTCCCTTCCAACCCAAACCAGTCTGGGATTCAATGAATAAGTGCTGACGGGTTGGAAATCAGGAGGACAGTCCCTGTAGCATCCCCTCCACACAGCTCCCAACCGAGCTGCTCTGGGGTTTCTTGGAGAAACCCAAGAAATCTCCATTATTTTGCCTGGATGAGGCCAGTTTTTAACTGCTGTCCCAGTAGTCATTGACCAAAATCTGTTGGGATTATTCCAAACATGGTTTTGGCACAAAGGGGTTTTTTTGGCTCAGAACTGGAAGGGTTTCTTTTTCCTGCTGTCAAATGATCATTTAAGCAGGAGATTTTAAAGAAAATGAGTGAGAACTGCCCGTGTCAAATGAACTCGCCTCTCTCCCCTGTATTTTTCTTGCATAGGCTGGAAAGTAAACACCGTCTGGCTTTGAAACACGGCTCCTATTTTGACAGGTTCCTCTTCAAAAAGCTCTGCTCAGGTTTCTCTTTAGCCCCATTGTGCTGTCTAAACAAAGTTAGATTTTAATTTTCTAAGCGAAGGGGAAAAAAAAATGCGTCTGCCCTTCTCCAGTTATTTGGCAGGAACGTAGCAAATACCAATGTTGCTTTTGCTTTTCTTTCTTTCAGTGAGTCCTTTGGTCAGGAAGGGTTCCTGGCTTGGCAAGCCCAGGGCTGTAAATCCTCTGTTAATCCAGACTCAGGCAGGTGCAATGTGAATTCTCTCACCCAGTACATTTCCACTGCTGCAGCAAAGGGGAGACTGGGGTTTTTTTTGCCTTAAAACCATTGCTCTGACAGCTGCACGGCTTGGGCAGGTTCAACCTATGGACCAAGCTCTGAAAAACTGTGTCTCTCACCTCCCCTTCCATCAGCCATCCACATTTTGGTTTAAGGGCAATATCCTTCCCCCTCTGAAATTTTATAGAAGCTTGAGTGTGGGTTTCTGTGGGAGAATGACCTAACGGAGTTAAGTAAAAACTGGTGAAGTATTTTGCTTGGCAATCCAAGTTGTACTTTTATAGGTTATTTGTCCTGTTTACCCAAGAGAAATAAATCCAGTAGAAGTTCAAAGCCATTTAGGAAATACTGATTTTTAACTGAATGTCTCCATAGCTGAGAGTTACATCCCTGCCTTTCCATAGGCAACGCTGCTCATCTTTCCTACTCCATTTACTTATGTACTGAGGTGTCCCTGCTGATGGCAGGGGGGTTGGAACTGGATGATCTTTAAGGTCCCTTCCAATCCAAACCATTCTGTGATTCTATGTTCAAGACACTGCTTAAATTTTATAGCTTTGGGGTTTTTTCACCCCCACACAATGTGTGAGCAGTTATTATCGCCAAAAGGTCAAATCAAATCAAGATCTGCTGGTACCATTGCTGTCAAATGTTCTTTGGAGCTGAATCCCTCCAGGAGATGCTCTTATTGGTGATGGGTGACCCACCACTGGTTTAGAGGTCCCTGTGTCTCCTGGAAGGTGTCTGAGTGGGGTTTGGGGTAAATCCCTTCTGCTGCTCCTCCAGGTCCTCACCCCAAAGCCCTGGTCCAGGAGGGCACATCAGTGGCTGTAGGGTCTCCAGTGAGTCCCCTGCCTTCCATGGGATGGCTCCTGCAGCTACGTTAAGTTCATGGCCAAGACCCAAACCTCTTTTTTTTATATAACCTACAGAATTCAGATTTTCTTAAACAATAAAGACTTTAGCCAATAGTTGGCCAAAAAGCAGCTGCTGTTCTCCCTTTGGCTTGGAGTTGTTCACAGGTCTGGTCCAGGTCTCCACCACAGGGTTGTGCCCCAGGGGAACTTGCTCAGCGTAGCATCCCTGATGCCTCGTCTCACATGGAGTTTTCCTTTTTTTCTAAAAAATGCCAGAACAAACTGGGAAGAAGACAAAGGGTAAGAAAAGTGACCCGAGAAGGAAAGGAAGAGATGGTAGAAAAAATAGTCCCGAGAAGAAAGAGAAAAGGAAATCAGTCAACGAAACTGTATTGGGACAACTGGGTAAGTCTGATTTTATGGGCGCAGAGCTGACCCGTGCTGCTGGCAGCTCCCTGTTTCGGGGAGCAGGGTTAAGAGTCCCAGCCCTGATCCCGTGGAGTTACACCCGAGGCCATGGGAGCCTCTTCCATCTCTTGCATGTTTGTGGGCATCAGCCTGATGGACCCATTACCATGGTCCTATGGGAGAGATGGCGTTGGACACATTATCCCAGTGGGACAGAGGATGTAAAATCCACCTCCCATAGCCCCAGGGCTTACGCCTGGATTGGGAGAACATGTTACAGACCCTGGGATGTGCTGCTGAAGAGTGGTTTCACTGTCCAGTGATAAAATCAGACTTACCCACCCCACAGTAGGGTTGATCCCCCACATCTTCTGTGCTCTGCACCGAAGGTGAACACAGCGCATGGGCTTTGCATTTTTGTAGCGTGTACTCTCCAGAACTGTGCTGGTTGTACTGGTGGTCCAGGGATATCCAGGACATCCAGGAGGCACAAAGCATGTCCAGTCTCTTGAATTTGCTCAAGGGGTGAGGAGATGCAGGATGGCTCTGTGGATGTTTCACCCACCTCTGGCTCTTCCCCATCAGCTGCAACCTACCACCGCTGGGCAGCAGATGAGGCTGGAGGGGGAAGTGAAAAAACAGAACAAAAAGGGGGTTTTTTGGACAAGATTCTTGACAACTACATACGGTTTTTACATGGAGTTGGGTTTTTTGTTTGACTTCCTCCAGTGCTGTCACCTCCACCAGCATGTGGGGCAGGAGGTGATGAGTTCATGGGTGCTCAGCTGCCCTGTGGGCTCAGCCCCCCGTGGGTCTCTCTGACAGTCCAGGGGTTGTTATAAAACCCACCTGAAGTCAAAACTCAATTTTTCCTCCATCCATAAAACCAGCCTTGGTGTTGAACCCGTGGGTTTCTGCTACGGGGATGAAAGCTGTGTGTACTGGTGTGGGTGTGCACCCTTCCAGTTGCTAATTAGACCCAGCCCGGCCCATCATGCTCTCTCTTCCTCTCAGAGATCATGATTAGGACATTTTTCAGCTTTTCCCATTCCAACCTGTCATCTCTACTCCTCTTCTTCACTTTTCACATCTCTTGAGTATTAGGAGATGTTCTTAGACCTGCCTCCCTCCCTCCCTCCCCGCCTTTGCACACAGATCCAGCACCAGTCCCATCACCCAGTGACCGCCCCAGCTCGGTGGTGCCTGGGGTATTGGCAGCACACGGTGGCATGGTGGCAGCTCCTGGGGGAACCTGTCACCCTTGCCTGGGCATAAGTCCTGCTCTGGTAGGAGCTGCTGAATTTTTAGGGTCACACCTGGGCTGGTGGTCCTGCTGCCTTTGTACGGGAGTGTGTTTTCCACTCGTGGTGGGGTGGGTTGGAGCATCTTCGCTGCAGAAAGATGGGGAGGTTCGCGGAGTGTTGGATGTGGGGGACCACTCGGGTTGTTGTGCTGTGACCTCAGTGTACCCCAAATTCAGCATTAGTGCTGGAGTAAACCCTCTTCTCTGCCCTTCTGATGTGATGTGTTAGGGTTGACCCGTTGAGTGTTTCTCTGGTTCTGGAGAATTTTGGTGAAGTTGGTTGTTGGTGTCAAAGTGCAGCATGGCTGTTGCAGGCTCCTGAAGCAATCATCTTCCACTTCTTGGTTTTTTCCAGGCTTGTCAACTTCCTTCCCCATCGATGGGACCTTCTTCAACAGCTGGTTGGCGCAATCAGTCCAGATCACTGCCGAGAACATGGCGATGAGCGAGTGGTCCCTCAACAACGCCCACCACGAGGACAGCACCCCCGGCCTCTCTGAGGAGCTCCTCCAGGATGAGGAAACCTTGCTGAGCTTCATGATGGACCATTCCCTGAGGTCCCCATTTAAGCAGAGCGAGGCCACAAAGAAAGTGAAAAGCAAAACGAGAACGAACACTAAGAAAAAGCTGCCGCGGAGCAGCCCCCCTGCCCTGGGTGGGAGCCACCCGGAGAGCTCGGAGCCCTGGACTAACAACGCCAGCGACTTGTCGGATGATGCCACCAAACCCTCCGCTCCCGATTCCAGACCGAGCAAGTCGGAGAAAGGAGCAACAAAGCTTCTTGCCGACCGCAAAGGGATGGGTGAGGCCAAAAAGGCGGCCAAGAAGGGCTCTGTCCCAAAAGCCAGTGAGCCTCACCCCCC